TGTGTGTGTGTGTGTGTGTGTGTGTGTGTGTGTTTGACTGTGTGTGTGTGTGTGTATATATATATATATATATATACAATGTTGGGAAGGTTACTTTGAAAATGTAATAGTAGTGTAACTTTTTTAATTACTTTATTAATGTAACTGATTACTTTTGATTACTTTTCTAAATTTCTAATGAATGTTTTCAACTGTTAATCATTTAAAAAAATTTACACCATGCAGGGTTAACTTTACAGCATGTGCTCAACAATGATTACTGTCAGACTTTCAAAATCCTTCATCACTTGAATTAAGATGATAATACATCCACTAAAAAAATCAGACTTTAGTACTGCCTTTTACTTTGAGATTGATCTGAAGTTCAATGCAGATTTAAAATCATAAGAAATAGTTTACTGATACTGTTTTTGAAAACAAATCTTCGCATAACTACAGGAAACACTGCATCTTTACCGCTATTTTTGTATGGCCATCACAAAAACTCCTTAGGCTGGGGACATGCAAAATAATTAAAAGTTCCCTTTCAGTCGGTCACTCTCGACGTCACGTCGGAGGGCTGGGCGACCCCTAACACATTCGCTAGATTCTATAGCCTTCGTGTGGAGCCGGTATCCTCCTGTGTTCTCACCTCAAACGGGTAGAAGCACTGAGAGGCCCCGGCTTCGGGTCGGCTTGCAAAACCACTCCAGAGAGTCCATACAGCAGACCCTGTTGAGTTCCTCCGTCCCCTCGGCAGCCAGACGTGGCGGAGCGTCCGGCGCCAGGCCCTCCCTCGCTGAATCCTCGAGAACCGGTAGGAGGCTGGGTTCCATATGTAAGACCTAAGTGGATCTCATATGTGTAAAGTCCACGGTATAGCCTTGAGCTCGTGTTTCCCCGGCAGACTTCTGCCATTCCAAGAGGGTTCAATCACCTCCATTCTTCCATATGCACCTAAGGGATGTTCATATGTGTATTGCTTCCGAAACCTCCTTCGGGAAGGTTCGAGCTTCCGTAACGCCCCTGTTCCAAGTAGGACGGGTACGTTTTCCTAGTGTTATCCAGTCTTACTCATTGGGTAGTGCCATTGCAGCAGTAGCTGGTCCTCTTGTGAAGAAGCCCTGGCCTACGCCAAAAAGTAGGGGCGCAGGTGGCTTCCACAGGCCACTGGAAGGGGCAGTAGCTGTGGCCCTTTGGTAGGATCCCAATTTCGTTGGTCATCCGACGTGACGTCGAGAGTGACCGACTGAAAGGGAACGTCTCGGTTACGTATGGTAACCCTCGTTCCCTGAAGGACGCCACAGCTCCTGTACCACCACTGAGCGGACGGGTCACCGGCTCGGCTCCTCAGCGAAAAGCTGAATATGCGCTGCATCTGCTGCCTACTTATACTCACGCTGTGATCAGCAGCAGCTGGATGCAATAATCGCTTGCCAATGTGCATTGGCTCGTTTAGTTTACACTCGAAGTAGATTGGTCCCTCTAAGCGAGATCCCAATTTCGTCGGTCATCCGACGTGACGTCTCCGTTCCCTCCTTCAAGGAACGAGGGTTACCATACGTAACTGAGACGTTCTCTCCTGAACGACACCTTCACTTCCATTTTAATTTTCAGTCTCTTTATTTTGCCCTGATTTCTTTATGTCTCTCACATGACTTTAATACTCAAGATTTAACAAAATTATTCTTTCTAAATTGCCTAAATGTCAAAATTAGTACAATAATAACTATTACAATATCTTTATAGAAAAATCATAATACTGAACATGAGTCATATTTTTCCCTTACAAAAATTAACCATGATTTTATTATAGTAAAAGTACAGTAACCATGTATTTTTTTTATTTTTTACAATAATAAAATGGATTATTGTATTTATTTTTACTACACATTCCATGGTTAAACTATGGTTAGTGTAACAAAAACATGGTTAATCTGTGGTTACCATGGTCCATTGTCTTTGGATTTATAGTAAAATCATTGTTAATTTTCGTAAGGGTTGTGTTGTTGTCTGCCCTAGCTCCTTTAGGCTAGTATACAGTATTTTAAGTGATGACTATTTAGCAATGTATGGAACGATATTCCGGACAATTTTCAAATAGAATAGCAAATTGTATTTTCAATTGCGTTTTCAATATGTGGACACATAAATTGTGACATAATCCAAATGCAATT